CATCCTGATCAGGAGTAGCTCCCTGCGTGTGCACTTTATCCGCAATGTATGTACTGAGTTAACGTGCTCCGTTCTGCACGTCTATTCCCTTTATAACTGGGCTACAGCTTAGCTGGTTCGGGGAGTCTAGCTAGATGTTGGAGAATCTGCCATAGAGATTGTGAGTCAGTCAGGCTTTACTAAGGTAGCAATCCGCTACAACTCCCATTTAGGAGTAAACTGATCAATAGTTGTGCCTATAAAACACCTAATAATAGTTGGATTCGAGGGAAAAATTTGTTTCACTTTAAAGTTTTAAAAAATCTAAATGAGTGAACTGCGTGTACCTCAACTGAAGTTTACTAGAACGTGTAATTTTATTGTATGTTATGCGCAATAGAAGCAAATAGCTTATTAATTTTCAACGAAAGAGGAGTTTTACTTTTGAAGTTTCAGTTTTACCAGTTCCGGCTGGTCCTTCGGGAGCGCCTCCGAGATTCAATTGAATGGCCCCCATCAGAGTTCGGTAGCATCGATCCGTCAGAGGTGTTATCACAAGACGTGAGGAATTTCCCAGATATTCAAATCTAGAAAGCATGTAAAAAATCAATTTTGACAACAGAGAAGAGTATTTCAGAATATCCCTTAATTATTTTAGCATCCTAGTCAGCATTCGGTGGTCTGTTCTATCATTTTAGTGCTTTTTTTGTTCGTATAGGCCCATCCACGACCTTTAATCCGTTCATCGAATTTTCTCCTGGTTCTCTAACTGCCCCCACATTGAGCATACAACACCCTTAATCACTTTTTTAGTCTTCCAGTTTTGTAACCAATGTCTTCGTTCTATTCTTTCTAGTGAACAATTCAACAAGATTCCTTGAAATTTTTCTATATTATAGTAGTCAAAGTCCTTTTGACTTTGGAAGGCAATAAATTTTCCACTTTCTTCATTCAGAATTAATGAATTTTAAGTTCTAAATTCAAATATCTTTCGCATTCCAAACTCTGTTTGTGCTAGTTTTTCGTGTTTTCAATTCTGATTTAACAAAGCAAAAGGTTATTCATCTCCATAACATCTAATATCTTGCGCAGAAAAGTATCATCGTATCGAACTAACGTTATAGTTTGTGCAAATACCAACAAATATATCCTTTGCCCTTAATTCTAAATCCGATACTAATATAAATACCCTATTGGCTCAAAATGACTCACGCATATGTTATCTGAGCGGTGATAAGTCGAACGAAGATAGAATTGTTTTCCTTCGGGGAATAGTAATATCGTAATTGGCTCAACCACTCAAAAGCCGTAATAGAGCTCGTTTTGGCTTGCATAAGCTCTGCCACGACATCTCGGGCTGAAATGAATCAAATACAAATTACTTATAATTTATTTGAGTAGCGTTCTTACCATGAACATCAAGAACAATTAGTGCGCCGAGTGTGAGACGTTCACCACTTGTTAGCGGTCCTCTCACCAACTCCACAATATCTTCTATTTGTTTATCACATTTCAGCTTCTCAGACAACAATTTCGCCTCTGAAATTGCTGTCTGAACTTCACTGGTCCAGTAAACCATAGATCCGCAGAGAACAGCCTATAAGTAAAACTCCTATTAATTCTGTGAAAGTCAATTCATATCAGATTTGCTGAACGACTTACTTGGCCTGGCCAATCCAAAACCCATTTCTCGCGAGCGGTTTTTTCGTATGCATCAATGCTGTCAGAAATTACTTTCCGAACGCTTTGTGTCATCATTTCCTCCACTTGTAGAAGCCATTTCTCGACCATACCCTTAGCCTTTGCAGGGTAGATTTTAGCCACAAAAGGAACCACTTCCCCCTCTGCAGACACCATGCCAAGGATCTCCTGTTGTTCTGTGAAATTCAGCTGAATGATACCCTCAAAACATTTCTTTAAATGAGGCTGAACACGAAGAGGATCTTTAGTCTCGGACAGAATCTCCAGAAGTTCGTCGTTGGATAGAAAGAAGAACCTAAAAATAAAGGAATGTTAGTAGAAGATCTATTAGCATTAAGCTTCTGATGCTCAAGCTCCTGTATAGCAGCTAGACAAATACGATTGATCTAAATTTATGTAAGATTTTTCTTGGCAAAGATACCTAAAATATCCACTTTGATACTCAATTAGGCCTACCGTGAAAAGAAAAGACGCTTCTTCTCCAAGTAGTCATTTAGACCTTTCTGAATATCTTCAAGAAGGACATTGGCATCAGTCAGTCTTCGGAGCATATCTCTTTGATCGGTGGCTACAAGACAGTTGGGGTTCTTTGCCGTTTCGCCCATAATTTCTCGCCAGAGAACATCAACAACTCCAAATTTTCGACCTTCTTCAGGCATTTGGGCCAGAATATCCTCTGAGGAGAATATTGGTTCAAGGTAGAGCCAAGTGGCTTGGACCTAAATATTAAAAGAAGGCTAGAATTCTCAAAGGCGAACAAGGATTCCAGAGAAGGTAAAATTTCAAGAATAAACCAACCTTGAGCCAAACGTCAATGCTCTCATTCATGTTGACAAGCTTGTTCTCCCATGCACTCATTTCTTCCTCGAAGGGCTTGATGAAAGGCGAGTTTCGCATTGTCTGAGCTTTAATAATATGATCATCCAGTAAAATTTGAATATCATCCACTCCTGTCAAGATGCATACACCCTGAAATTAAATTTTACAATTTCAAATATTCATTTTCTCTCTCTCTCTCCTCACCTCCGCAATAAAGTTAACGAAAATTATGCAAATACAACTCCAATTCAAAATATTTCATACAATCACCGAGTAAATAGACAATTCCACTTAATAATTGTTTTACATCATTGCAATCATTCACAAGATTTATAATGCTTCGTACTTTATTCGATCGTGGTGGACAGACTTCTCATCAATCAATGAAGCCTATTCTATATTCTGTTTTAAGGCGAGTCGTTAAATCCAGTCAACTGGAAACCGAAAGTATTAAGCTCCTGGCCTGTTCTCTCTTGGTGCTTAAAATTGTACCAGATGTAGCTAAAACGTGGTCTAATCAAGGCATGTTCTCCTTGGGATCTTCAGGATGTTTTGTACTTAGTTGACAATAAATTTCAACAAGTTATAAGAACCACCATTCATAAGACTCAACGCTTTATTATATTTATTTGATTTGTTTAGCTCACTAAAGAAGAAATTTTCCTCTAGCAAATGTAGGCTAAGGAATGGTTTCAATGAGTATATCGGTATAGTCCTGTTCGTTTTAAGTCAAATCAAACAAAAATGTGAATTCATTTATATTAAAATAGTCATTTATTAATCTTTCTCTAGCTACCGTGACAATAAAATTTTTTGATCAACCTCTTTTCGGCAAGCAAAGTATTGGTTGAACTTACAGTATCACGATGAGGCAGCAATTCAAAGTTCATATTTTCCCAATCAGACTTCATCTTTTGCAGCGCTATTTCTAATTTGTGCTCTTTGGCTGCGGCTGCAGCAATTTCCTCCAATTTTGGAAGGAATTTGCTCAAGTCCATACCAAGTAGATCATGAAGTGGTGTTTTCTTAGTTGGCATGACTTCGAAGCCAGTTATCTTGGATATACTCTCCCAGTGACGACGTTGGAGACCAGGATTGCAGACGATTTGCATGGTGGGAAGGTACTCCTTGAATTTCTCGATCTTCGCCTAAAATTTTGAAAAATGGAAAAGCTGAACAACTAAAGTTAGTCCTCTAATTTATTTAAAATAGTTCGTCTTAGCTTCAAATAGGTTGACTTATCCTTTTAACTGCATTCATTGATTAAATTTTTTTACTTAATTAGTCTGTTCTTAAGTGGGCCATGTTAACTTAGTATAAAAACTTAAACACTCACTTTTATTTTTTGAGCTATCTTTAATGATCCCGGTTGATCAATAAATGTTTTATTCAGCCGATGAATGGTCTTATACATCTCTCCAATTTCAGTCTCAACCTGGGCCGCATCAATCTTCCAATATGGCGAATCCAACCACATTCTGCTCTTCTCTTCAAAGTCATTACCCGTTCGCCATAACTTATCATACGGTTCCATAGTTTTTCGCACATCGGCGATTTGAAAAGAACTACTCTCCTCAACATTGAGTAGTTTCTCTTCTCTGGTAACCAAGACACGAATAATAAGGCACTACTACTTATTTCAAATAAGTATATATTGATTTTACACTTACGTAGCGATTGCTTCAGCCTCATCATTGAATTCCTTAATAAGCGCCTGGAAGTCATCCAACGTTTTGATAGCTCGTTTAATTTCATCCCGTGAAAATACCTCCATCTTTTGGATAATCTTAACAAACTCAACAGAACTACTAATGCGTTTATTCAGAGCAGCAATTCGATTTTTTAGGGCTTCTTCTGCAGCCTCCTGCCAAGTTGCCAAACGCGTATTTGCCATATCAAATATCTCCTTTATGTATTCGGGCCAGTGGAACACATTGCTGTTCATTCTAATGTCATCAGCTAAGTAGATGACAAAGCAACCGACTTAGATTGAGCAAATTCCTCAATCAGGTTAGCTTCAAAGTAGTGCACATTAGCTCACCTGACATGAAGGTAAAATCAAGAATAAACTTTAAATGTTCGATAGAGTCGCCAACTTGAGCCAGCAACTTGAAAGCGGTTGTGTTTTGAGTTTCCTTTAGAAACTCTTGGAGATCCACCAACTCCTGCGTATTTGCTGGTTCTTCACTTAGCTTGTTAGTTATGTTTTCATATTGACGACAAATACTGAAATGGAATAATTTTCATTTCCAATTAAAATCGATGGCTCGATAGTTCTATTCTACTTGCACGATTAAGAGTTAAATGAACTTTCATTAGCAACAGTAAAGAGTTACCTTCTGTTGATATCTCTTGCCTCGTCTAGCTCGTAGTTAGCAAGAATATCGCGCAATTTCTGCACCTTCTCAGCTAAATGCATATTTACCTCTTCACAATCCAAGCAGAAGAGCTGCAGTGGTACTCTGTATCGCAATCCCAAGATCTCCATTTTCGAATTTCGAAAGGCATCCAGTTGCTAATTTAAACAAAAAATGTCGGAGAAACTTTAAAATAGTATCCTGTGTTTGTCCCTTAAATGTAAATGTACATATCTTGTAAACTATTCAACCACTAAAGTTATATAATGCTTGCCAACCTTTTTAACCTGATTCAGACTTTCATCCAAATGATCCTCTAGTGGATCTCCTGCAGGAATGAGACCTTTGTTCTAAAAAGGTAAAATTCGTGTTTGAAGATTAACTGCTAAGCAAACCGCCTAGCTTTTATAAAAGATTCGGGCTAATATGAAGTCTCCTTAAATTATTTTCTTCTGAGAGAGGATGATGGCTTATTTTCGTTACATTAACAGTGAAAGCACTTGTTGAATTTTTGAAAATTTTCAACAAAAATTTGCTTTTTTCTGTATTATCGTCTGAACTCAAGGTCAAACTTTATCTTCAATAAAACGGGGTTTGCGATAGACTTACCTCCACGTGGTGCACCCTGGGCAACGCATACTCATACGGCAAAATGTCTATTAATCGGTAGTTGATTTCTGACTTCAAGCTATAATGACCCCACTGCATGTCATATTCGACCACTTTCACAGTACTCATCTCACCCTTTTTCTAACTTTGCGTCTGTCTCTTTTACATCTTTGAAATACTCTTCTGTTCCTCCCCCCCCCCTCTCGCCTTTTTTCACTTTGATGTTCCTCCTCCTCTCTGTGGAGCCTAAAGTCAACTAAAGGGCTGATGATAACTATCAAAACGCCTGCCATTTGATATAAGGAAGTCTTCAAGAAAACGAACGAGCAAAAGATTAGAACATAACCACTAATAATATTATAAGTTCATATGCAAAAGTGAGCAAGAAAAGCTGTGTTTTCAAATAGTGTTTGATGAACTTCCCCATTAAGCTCATCGAACACAAAAGTAGTCGATGAGAATATTCAAGATCTACCCCCCCCCCCCATTCCGCAGCCTAAATGGAAGTATTTACCAAATCATAAGTAACTGTGAAAGTCAATTCTAGGGATTTAACGTCGTGTTATTGGGTAAAACAAATATTCATCCATTTTTAATAAATCAGGTATTCAGTAAGACAAACCAAACCTTCTTCTGCACTATTAGAACGTGTCGTTCCTTCATGAAACTTCGAAGTTCCATTTCAGCCTTATTATTAAGGAGGTTACGGTACGGACGGTAGTACTCTAGATATTGCTTTGGCCCCGACGAATTCAATCGGAAGACATGCAGGGAACGTTCCGTGCTCTCTGTAACGAAACCTTCCTCATATCTTACGCTTCTGATATAGAGAGGCTGCTCTGCCAACTCAGGAAATAGATGCGTTTCAACCTAGTTGAGAAAACACGTAGTAAGGCCGTGATTGCCACTTACTAGTGTTTGAATATACTAAACTAACTCGAGGTAAGTTTGTAGCAGCATTAGTAATGGACTGAAAGCATTTGAGTAGACGTTCTCTTATCTCACTCATTCTTGGCGAGTATGTAACTTTCGAGTCTGCTATTTTTAGCTTTATTAACAGCACAGACTTCTTTATGAATTCGGTTTCATCATATTCGTCCTTGAAGGAGTTCAGTGCCTGCAATATACAAACAGAATAGATGTGGATTGGAGTAAAATGTCTACTACAATTATGGTGATTTCAGTTGTTTACTCTGTATTCTTCAAAGAGGAGGGTTAGTTCAGCAATAGAAGCCTCTACAATACTTCTCAACTGATTGGACATGAGAGCTTCAATACTTGCAAAGAACACCTCTGCCTGTTTCGTTGGTAAGCTTCGATTATCAGGAAGAAGATAAGTCCATTGACCCCGCATTTTTATGAAAAGCTCAGCACATTCAGGAATCCATCTTAAAGGGTAGTTTCATTTTAATCAGATCCTGATAGAGAATGTAGAATTTTTTTAATATAAATATGACTAACTTCCTCATAAGAATATCTCTTGTTGTAAGGCACTGTTTCGAAATCAATGCCTCAAAATTCTGCGGTGTCAGCGGCTTTTCTAATTTTTTGATGGTCTCAATATCCACAAATCGTAATTGGGCGTATCTACAAAAGACAATCTGATGTAATCCATCAGCCTAGTGAAGGCCAGCAGTATATAGTGGTATTAACTAACTTATCGTGCCAAAGGCTGTTCAGGGCTAGACTCATAGCTGATGGTACAAACAGGCCATAGGAGCATATTTTAACTCGCTTCTCCATTTCATCGTGCCAAGGGACGGGCGATCGGATCACATAGATTGAATGCGGAATTTGAACACAGCTGATAAATAGACGTTTACGCTCCTCCGGATCAAGAAGAATGTAATCAACTAATGAGGAAATAGAAACGTAGAGGTGAAGGCCCCAAAATTAATTTAATATAAATTAAAACTGTTGTTGTTGTTGTTGTTTTCACTTTCAAAATGTAATTATTTCCATCCAAACCAGCACCGCCTAAACAAACTTGCTATTGCACAGAACTACTCTTCCAAAAATTCCATTCTTAAGCACTCTTCTCAAACTCAAATCTATTTAATCTACGCCTAAAACTGTTTTTTTCTATTAAACCTTGCAAAGTGAAACCACGTGAAAGACGCTGTGACAGTCTTCAAAATATGAAATCAATGGTAAATTGCGAATATTAGATACAATTAGTTTGATGTTTGAAAAGTGGCCAGAAATAAATGGAGCATTTGCCCGGTCAGAAAAGTCACTTAATTCAGTCCAGCAGTCATAAGATCTTAATATAAGCTTCCGAAGGAAACAGCATTGGTTGCACTGTCGGATATAAATATCATCAATTAGATTATTGAATTCTTCCTTGGCGTTGAATGTGAGAGAATTAGTGGAATTTTAATTCCGAGAATTTTTCTATGGACCAAATTTTTCAAACACTTCACTTAATTATTTCCTTCCATTAACTGAATATTCATCTTTCTATTTCCAATTTTTCCCCTATTGTTATAAATTTAATAAGCTTTTAACATCATTTCTGTGATTTCCGGCCTATCAATGCCAGTCCACACGATAAACTCCATTTGAGACAATGGTGGTGGCCTTTTTGCCTGTCTATTCAGTTGTAAATGATAATGTAAAACGATGTGAACTGAAAGAGGTTTATTCACACTTCAATTTGGTGAGAAGTTTTCAATGTGCCATAAGCTCAATCGATGATGTAGCAACATTTTTGTTCATTAGCAAATAATTAGAATAAAAATGTGGTTGAAAGAGACAAGGTGGATTTTGTGCGTTATCGCAACTGATCTGAATTAGAAGCAGTCTTTGAAATTTCAAAGTCAAGTATCTGAATTCTGTGGTGCACCCTGGGCAACGTATACTCATACGGCAAAAAGGTCTATTAACCGGCAGTTGACTTCTGACTTCAAGATACCATGACCTCACTGTGTGTCATATTCGACCCCTTTCACAGTACTCATCTTACCTTTTTCTCTAAATTTGTGTCTGTCTGCCTCTTTTACATCCGTGAATCGCTCTTCTGTTCCCCACCCCTCAACTTTCTCCTACTTTGATGAACCTTCCCTCTGTGAAGTCCGAAGTCAGCTAAATGGCTAATGATAGCTATCAAAACGCCTGCCATTTGAAATAAATTAATAAATAAGTATCTGAATTCTCTTTCTCGGATAATTTTATAAGAGTATTTCCCTCCTTATACAAATTCGTATGATAATGAAAAAAATGGAAGAGATAAACCAACCGATTGACTTCTTTACCGCAACTCGGTAATCCTTATGAATTTCTTTAAGTAGATCTTGTGTAATCTTACTCCAGTTATCCATGAGATTTCTGGGAG